ATTAGAAATTTTTTTCACCGTCTAATTTTTTAAAATATCATTGAGTTGCTAAACATCGTTTAACTAAGCATAAGTAATATAGCTTTCGAAGTATAGTTACATTACCCAATACTATGATCGTGTGTGTCAGGAATCGCATTTCATTTCCTGTCCAGGTTATGGTGTCTCTAGTGCAGACAAAAGAATGCACGCAGTAGTTAAATATGGATCATAAGTTAAAATTCCATTAAGTTTTAGCTAACTGTGAAATGTTTGTAGTGTGATATAACCTTCAGGCACACATTGCTTTTTGCTTATCTTGTATTTTTTATTCAGTCTTGAACGTAGCAATTAACATTTAACTTATTAAATCGATACGGCCGGAGTAAATTAAGGGTTATTTGTTGTTATCAAGACAAAATTTTGCCGGCGTGCAAATACGATTATTAAATATTTCCAGAAGAATTTTCTGAAATAAAGAAGACGTTTGGTAACACGATACTTTGTGAAATTCTGTCCCATGATGCGTTGTTGGCTGGATTCTTCCTTTAATGAAACTTTGCTTGATTAATATTCTATTCCACCTTAATTTTCGATAATATGCAAATTTTAAACATTAATGTTAAACTTTGCTTTCTAAGTTTTCATGTTTTTGGCGATGAACTTTTTTTTATGCAAATTGTCAAAACATAACATCAATTAAAAATATAAATGCGTTTTAACACCATAAAACCGTTACGAAGGAATTTTTTCCAAACATTTTTGTGAATTACTTGAACTTATTTGCATCCGGATAAAAGGAACATCCTTTGTTTTTTCTTATTTGAGTTCGAAATTAAAGGATGCATAAGGCAACGTTTAAGTGACCTAAATCTGTTAGTTGATTTTGAGCAAAACTGAATTTAAAATTCCTAGAAAACGTGAAACGTTCCCCATGTAAACTCAAATTATTTAAGTAAACACAAAACAAACTAGATTAGGAAAAAAGTGTGTTTAAAAGGTTATGCTTTTGGAATTTTATAATTTAATAAAGAAGTTTTACTTGCTCTGAACACTTTGACGCAGATGGGATACCGGTGTCCCATCTGCGGATATGTATTTCTCTGTCGCTCTAATTAAAAGCAAAAATACAGTTTGGTATTTTCTTACAATAAAAAATAGTCTAATAGTTAATACAAAAAATGTTAAATTATCGGAATTTTATTGGTTCTAAAATATAAAATCCAAAAAAAGTGGTTTGAAAAGATTTTTTTTTCTTCGTCACTCTTCATTTTAATATGCTTTCAAAAATGTATGAATAATTGATTTTGTAAATTAACAAAATTTCAATGAGAAATAACTACTATCTTAGATTTAAATAATTGCTTAATAAAAGCAAATTTGAAAAATTATTGTTTGGAAGGGAGCCGTGTTAGGAAGATTTTGCTTTTGAAGCAGAAAAAGACACCGGTCTAATCATAAAATCATAATCACTACATCCTAAATCATAATCATATCCATAAATTATAAAAATGCTAAATAAAATATTTTTTTAACTTACTTTGATCTAAATTAATACAAAATGAATATGTTTAATAAAAATTCTGTGTCAAAAGGCTAAAATTATCGTTTTTTATTTTATTTTATTGAACATAATACTAGTTGCTGGTAAAGTTAGACTTGTAAAGGAAGGTTTTAAATAGAATGAGAATCTTAGTTAATCAGTAGTTTTATATACTTAACGAAGGTTGAAAAAATCAACATAATACAGCTTTGACCATCTCTTACAAAAAATTTTTCAAAAAAAGAAGAAAAAAAACATTAAAGCCAAAAGAATTAAACATTTAATAACTTTGACATATTATTCAAAAGATTTTAAAAATAAATTATGTGTCTTTCAAAATCCAGCTTGAAATGCAGCAATTTACTCTTTGAAATGCTTTGATGGTCACGAGACTGAATGCAACATTCCAGAAGGGGCGTTTTAAGAAAGTGAAAACGATTTTTTGACAGCATGAAATATCTGTGACATACTAATAAAACGCCTACATGAAACGACACAACAATCAAAACAAGACCCTTTAGGCTATTCTACAACAAGGTTGTTTAATAAAGAAGCTAAAAAGTATTAAAACTAACCCCGCTTGACTCTTCGTCTAATTATTTATGACCTTTAATGATATTACAACCAAGGAGCAGTAAATGAAATTCTTGTGTTTTACTATTTTACTTTCATTAAAAAAAAAGCAAATTTGATTTTCAAAATTTTTTTTCTTCATTATTTCAACATCTTAAACGCATTATTTGGTAGTTTGGCTTAAAATTTTAATTCCTTTTTACACAGACATTACTTGAGTAAAAAAAAAAAGTTGTTTTACATCATAAATTATTACAGCATAAGAAATATTTTTAATGTCTCTAAATAATTTATTTATTTTGAAAAAATGGTTAAAATAATTTCATTATTAATGAATAGATAGTTTTTGGAATCATTTTATGGAATGAATTTTACCCATCCGAGATGCATGGTATGGTCTTTATTAACAGTGATTTTGAATCTGCGTGAACATAAAATATTTAAAATCGTTATTTTAACATCGCTTTAAAGAAAAATGCGTTCATAGTATTGTTTAACTGAAATGGATGACGATCGAAACAAAAATTATCAAATCGATTTATTCTCCTTTACCACATTGGATCGTAAGAATACATGTTCATCGACAATAATTTCAAAAATGTTGTGTTTGTTAAAACAAATTACTTTAATAAATCAATAACAGTATTTTTTTAATGTTTCTAATAATATTAATTTAAAAAAAAGTTTGCAGTGACACGCAGAAAAATGAAAGGATAGCGTAGAACTCAGTAGCTCCGAGTAAATCTAAAATCACAGTGGCGTTCAGTTACCCCTGGTAATTTTCTCGATTAGATCCCCTAAAAAGAGGTGTAGAAACACTGCTAGGAAGAAAAACTTATTTATTTTTAAAAAAAAGAAAAAAAATCGTGAATCTATATCTTAAACTGCTTCTTCTGTAACGTAAGTGAACGTTATTCAAAAGTAAAAAAAAATATTATTTCCAACGACACATTACTCCGATTTCTTGCTTTAATGCAAAGAATATTTAAATTTTTATGATCCAAAACCTATCTGAAAGTTATATTTAATTCTTTATGAAATATTTTGTTTTAGTCAAATATTTGACTTTTAGTCTTTTATTTCATAGTTAAAATTGCAATAGATTTAAAGTCGTCCTTATTCGTCGGTTGAATGTCCTCTTTAGTTTGATCCCTTTGCCATAGCCTTCTTCACTTTATTCTCTGCACGCCACTGCATGAGTATTTAAAAACTGGCTCTAAGTTAATGATTAGAAGGTAGTTTAAACTTAAATAAAAGGAATTAATTAAAAGTTAGTTCTGAGTAACTGATTGCCGACAGATTTAACCCTTAATGGTTCAAAAGTATTTTAAATTTACTTCTCATCAGGTATGATAATAATAATTGATTATAATTATATAATTAATTATAGTTAAATTAATTGTAATTATAAAGCAGCAGTTTCACAGTCCATTAAATAAAAGTGCACTGCCCCTTATATGGTGGCACAGGACGTTTAAGGTTAAATGCAACAACTGACAAGAATTTTTCGCAAACATAGAAAGAATATATTTAAAATATATACTCTTTACAAACAGTAGTCTGAGCTAGTATTAATCAATTGTCAATGAACAGTCACAGTTAAAACTAAAAAATGTCTTAAATAACGCCACATCATGACATATTATTCATTATTTAGCTTATATTGTTACAAAAGAGCGACGGTGTCTCATTATCAGTGCCTTTCAATGGTGCGGCAATCAGTCTGACACAGAAATAGGATGAGTTACGGGAGGATCTGGCGCAGCGCTGAATCACGTCAATTCGTTTGCCATACAAGATTTAATGACAACTTTTACAAACCACACCCTAATATATTCATTCTAACGGATGTGATATTAATACGAGGGGTGAGGTGAGGTTGACGTCCGTCAGCCAACAAATTAAACACTCACCTGAGATGATGTTTGATACAAGTATTTAAACAATTAGATAAGCCCACAACCACTCATTCGTTTCGAAGAGTGAATGCATTCCAAATTCTATGTAGAAACAATTTGCTTCTGATATCGTAAAAATTTATACACAATATCTTGGAGTTCTTATTGTAACTTTAAATATTAACTGTTATTAGCTTGGCATTAAAACACTTATTTGCACAGGTACAATATCTGCAATCAGAATACTAATTTAACTCTTTCAGTATTTGTGCTGTTTTAGTTGTAGTTAATTTACGTCGCACTAGAGCTGCGCAATGGGCTATTGGCGACGGTCTGGGAAACATCCCTGAGGATGATCCGGAGACATACCATCACAATTTTGTTCCTCTGCAGAGGGGATGGCACCCCTGCTTCGGTAGCCTGACGACCTGCACGCGAAGTCGAGCACTTCACGCTAGAACAGTTTAACGAGGACCAATACCGCACACCTTCGGTCCCTACGTAGACTAATCCATGTGGTCACCCACCCGCACACTGACCGCAGTCAGTGATGCTTGACTTCGGTGATCTGGGAACCGTGTCCTAACGATTAGCCAACTGTGGGACTCAGTATTTGTGCAAATTGAACCATTGTTGATGCAAATTTTTCATAGCCTTACAAGGTATAGTTAAGCTAATGGAAAATCAAGTAGTGTGAGGGACAGTGGTATATGCCTCCCTCAATAATTAGAAACTTCAATCCCCCCCCCCATATTTCAAACAAATAAAAAAATAATAATAATAATGAATCATAATCTTTTTAAAATTTAACTTCATTGAAATGAAACTACGTGTGCCTCTTTAAGTTAGATATGCGAGAGTCCACCAGAGCTATACATACTATGGTAAATATTGAAGACGCTGTATTTTCACTCAGGAAATTCAGAATGTTCCTGAAATTGCGTTTAAAACTAGACATTTTTAATCCTTTAGCAAAAAATGCATGGTTATAAAATCTTTAAACTCACCTGCTTTACATCTGCAGGGATCATGCTTGTCAAGGTAATGCTCCAAGGTATCCCATCCTCCACCGACTCGCACCATTACGTGGCTTCTGAGAATCTGTTTAAAAGAAGAAAGGAGAGTGAATTCAAGTGTCAAATTTACTCGGAAATTGCGTTTATTGTTACATTGGGTGTTTTGTTTGCAACGCTTGGTTAAACTTCCGGATCTGCTTTCTCTTACGACTCCTCTTCTTCAAAGCAAATGCAACAAATTAAGGGCTGTTAGAAACGCTTTGCTCGCACTGTTCATGATGCATGTCTTAAAACAAGCTAATAAAATGCGAGCAGTGGTTAATAATTTTGGTAAAGGATAAGTTATTTCTGAAGAGCAAATTTTATTATACTTAGCATTAACTTACGAGCTTACACTGTAAAAAAATAAACACACAGAATTTATTTTGGCAATGCTATTTCCTGGGAAATCTCCGAATACATATTTCATCAACTGAGAAATTATTATCTTCACTTGTTAAAGAATAAGAATTTCATCAAACGCATTAGGCTTTATTCTAGATATTAGTGCTATCGATTAGGAAATTGCTATAAAATAAAGGAGCCTCGAGTTTATAGGTTCTCACCAGGAATGAGTTAATAGGTAAAAAGTAATTGCCAAGCGAGTACGCAAACCCTTGTGCCACCCATGTGGCTCAAAATGACTTTAAAATATCATAGAAAATGCTGGAAAACTCCCAGTATGTTTTGAGTTTGAAAGAAATTTTGTCAACAATACTTTAAGAGTTCGCGGTTTGTCAAAAATTTGTCACGAGATACAGTGACAAAACTATTGACAGAAATAACAAAGTACAGTTCAAAATTGCTGAACTGTCAAAAATGATAAATTTATTTCCAATGGCTTAAAGAACCATTTTAAAAAGAGATCAACGAAATATTTAAACCAGGACAAATGAGAATACGAACCATACCTAAAAGTTATAAGCCTAATTATTATTTTAGTTAAAAAGTTATTTATTTATAAAGATCATGCAGATAATTTTTGTTAGAACTTGTCTGATGAAATGTAAAACATAACTAGGAGCAACTCATAAAAGCATTATATATTTTTTTCTCTTTTGATATTTTGAAATCCCTTCCACGTTATGAATGACATCAAACAATATCTCTAAACTTTCTTTCCTCTCGAAATACCGACCACTATTAACACTTTAATTTTATTTACTTATAAAAATATTTTTTATTTTGAATACCTACGTTTATTAGTAAACCTGGCATACAGATTTAAAACTGTATTAGTTATACTGTTTAGTATTATCAATATTCAATGCACTTATTGAATATGTAATAATTTTTCATTAATGACTCAACTAACAATATATGTTATGTATATTAACAAGAACTTAGTGTGTGCCTTAACTAAAAACAATGATGATCCGAACGAAAATCTGATACGAATATCTGAACGCCTTTTCTTTATCCATATCATAGGCTAAATCATCGTTTACTTTTATATTTATAAATGTATATGCTAATGTACCTACAAGCATTTTTACGTATTGCGTATATTTACCAGCTTAAATTGATAAATTAGCACAAAATTATGCTTTAGTATTATAGTATTCAGGTCAGAATGTGAAAATTACAATTCTTTTATGTATATATATATATAAAAAAAGCATTTCTAATAATTTACACAATATTTTTTAAAAAAAATAATGATAACAATTAATAAATAATAAATAATAAATTAATACACCAGTAAGTGATTAGTGAATAAAAATTAGAACGCTATAATTATTATTAAATTTTCCAAAATAATTTTGAATACCTTTACGATGAAAAACTTTCACCCAAAAGTTTTTGCCAAAATTTAAGCATGTCATGAAAACTAACAATAAGTATTGACATAAGATAAGTTTTTATTATTTTACTATGCTACACAAAAGTATATAAAAACAAATAAAATTTGATCACAAACGTTGCAGATAAATTATAGCAAGTTTAGTAATAAAAATTTTTTTTTTGTAATAATTAGATTCAGATGATTTAAAGCTACATAAATAAAATACTTTTGTTTTGTAAAATACTTTTGTATACTTTTGTATGTTGTTTTGTTTACTTTTTTTTCGGGGAGGGTGAGGATTTGGATTCTTGAACCTCAAATTATTGAAGGGGGAGGATCCGTAATCTGGGAAATATGGTCTTATTAGCTTAAGCAGGAGAACAGATGAGAGTTTGGGCTCCTCAATGTTAATTTCACTTGTTTCATATTTTACCATATCTATGAAATGATTTAATGAAATGAAACAAAATTTTTTAGCCCAATTGTACAACATAATTAAAGGTAAGATATATTTCACTATATAATATTAAAATTTATTATTACAATTTATTATTTTCTGCAAATTTATAACTTTTTTGATCACCAAAATTTCATTTCATTTTATTCATTGAAAACATAAGAACATAAATGAAAAGAATCAATTTTGAAAGAAATGTTTGGGTACTTAAAAAAATTATATCAATTATTCTAAAGTCAATACCAAATATATTAATTAAAAATTTATCAAAAAATAGGTTGTAAGTATAATGCATATTAATTAGTATATTATACGTAATTATATATTTTAAAAATTTCTTACAGACACATTAGTAAAACACATAATTTTTTTTTTGTATTAAGAATTATCAGTTTTTAATTAAATGAAAATGTTGAAGTACTTAAAAAATTAAATTGAAATGGATTTTTTGAAATCTAAAACAAAAAATAACCTAAATTAAAAGCAGGCTGTCAGCTATTTTATTGCGATATATTGATAGATTTCTTGTCTATGCATATCATATGAGTCGTAAAAGTAATTAGAATTTAAACAAATGTTCTAAGATATGTTTCTAAATCCCAAAACAGTGATGACGTTTTTTCTTTAATACGTGAACTTCGCTATATATTGAACAAGTTGTCACGATTATCATACAATAAGGTAATTGAAACATCAGATTTGCGAAACATAATAAACTTACTGTCAAAAGTGACAAATTAATAGTTTAAAAATAAACAAGGCCTATTTCTCCGATTTATAATATGCAAATAATTATGCAATCCAAAAAATAATGGAGATGTCTTTAAAACTAATATAACTTCGGGGTTAAAGATATACATTACACAATGACTGTAATGGATTGATAATTGAATCAGAATGGGGTCGATATGTTCTTGAAAACTGCCAAACAGGCTATAAAAATCAATCCGAGACGCTTGGCATACATTTGCCCACTTTCCACTTTTACTTTTTGAAATGAAGTACTTGACACGCTTCTAATGACATCGAAATGCTACGCCAAACTAAGTTGATGAGTAATTTAGCAGAACGAGAACTAAAGAGTTTAAAGTCTGTTAAATTTAAATATTTGTTTTGTTAGAAGAGGCTTGTTGAGATAAAAACTTAATATTTGAGGTTACTTAATGTAGTGTAGTTGTTAGATAGAAAATCATTTACTTCATCAAAAGCTAAAAGCTCACCTTAATTGTTATCATTATTATTTTTTCAAAAAAAAAAACATAAAAAATACAGATGACGCAATAGTGGAGATTTAAAAAACAAACTTTAAAAGTGAAAAAGAATAATATTTTAAAATTAAAAAGAAAAAACTATAATATTTTTTTCAGAATAATATATATAAAATTTTAATGAATAAAACTGAACTGTGTCCAAAACAACTCAGGTTAATTTTTTGCTACAAATTTTTCGCAAAGTTGACTATATTATTAGTTTTATTGCATAAGTATTATAAGTTTACAAGTATTTTAGGCATTACAGAACAAAACGTTTGCCTATCATCTCTGCAACATATTTTACGTGACCACATATAACCTTTTCATTCATTATTGATTTAAAATTATTAATTAAACCTTAATAACTCATTTCCACCCTGCTTAAAAGTAATTAATTTAAAGCTAATCCAGAACGCTATTTTTTTTAATACGCACGTAAGTGTTCATTCGTAATTTTTTAAAAAAAAATTAAAGATACGGATGACATAATTATGACAATAAAGATTTTAACAAAATCTTTGAAAATGAAAAAATAATATTTCACATTAAAAAGAAAAAAATATCGTAATATTTTTTTTCTGAATAAAATATATAAAAAGATATCACAAAATTTTAATGAAAAAATCTGAACTGACGCAACAACTCAGGTTAATGTTTGGGCATTTTTCTCTAAGTTGACTTTCTAAAGTATTCACAGTCGTCTAAAACGTATAATTTATAAAAAAAAAAGTATACCGGATATATCTCAGTTAAAACCAATGTTTTCGATAGATGCATTCCATTGGCAACTGAACATGAAAGTGTACAGATGTTGTAAATTTATGATATCTCGCAGAGAAATTTTGACTCTTAAATAAAAAGTTGTTTAAGATGTCCATTCCAGCCCCATGTCCACACTATCCCCATTCTTTCCACATATAGATTATTATTAATTATTTCACATGAATTCGAACGGTACTCAAGAAGTGAAATTTAGGTATAATACGTTTATATTCTCTCCACTTAAATCTACAGTATATAACAAATAATATCTAACAAGTATATATAAAATAATGTATAACATGTATATTAAAAAATATTATATAATAGACAAAATTATAAAAAATTATAAAGAGGTGCAGTGAGAAAATTTAAATACTGTGCAATTTTACATCTGGTAATGGAGCCGCAACTAGGAAAAATTAAGAACCCCTGTTATATGAAAATCCAAAACGTGATTTTTTTTCTTCTTTATTTTCGGACATGCAGCGTAAATGAGAATACGATATTAAACCAAAAGTATTAATAAAAAAAATGCTCTAATTTTTAAAGTATTGCGTTTTATTGTTGTATACATTAGACACTGCTAGTTTTTTTTCTTCTTCTTTGTTTTGTAAAATCTACAAATAGCAGTTTGAACAGCTTCAAAAATGACCACGGCAGCTTTCCATATGAAAGAAATGCATTATTGTACGTATACTTTAAAAAAATTACTCTACTTCCTTTTTCACACTTTCAGGTAGTTAATTATAAATGACTCAATCGAACACGGAATTGTTTCGAAAAACAATTGTGATTGAAGTACCTAAATCTAAACAATGCATAGTTGGGTAGCTGTCTGGGTATGATTAAAATCTGCAACTGTGGTCAGTTATTGTCATTTAAATGTAGAATTCGCCTCTCAGTCAGCAAATTTTATAAATAGCAAATAAATAAGTTGTTGGTGTAAAAATAAAATGAAGTTTGGATAAATACTGTGCCATTTATGCTTAATCTTATTGATCTTGCTACACATTGTTAAAATAATAAATAATATGTAAGACAAATATATTTAATCACGTTTAAGAGTCTTTTTTTTAATCGATAGTGTCTTTCCAAATACAGATACCATCTTCATTTAAGTGTATTAGTGCCATCTGGAAACAATATAATTTTTTGGTAGATCTACAAACCTTGCCACTTTAAAACAAGGCATTTTTTAAAAAAAGCATTGTCTAAAAGCATTTTTTTAATACTATAAATAGACTCTTTACATTATTAGTTAGATTTACAGAATAATACGCTTATAATTGATTACATTAGGGAACAAATTTCTTCCATTTATACAAATATTTGATCTTGCCTAATTCGTGTGTGGGAATTTCATATCTGAAATTAATTTTGCTCCTAAAAATTAATTTAATTTTGCTCCTATTTAGAAACGTTATATAATAGCAAGGGGTCACATCAATGTTAAGACTAACTTCAAGGAGAGTTAAGACACATCATCAGATTAAAATTACTTCGGAATCCACGTCTGGAAATGTCGTCGTATGCGGCTAAAGGCGCTGCCGTATTATGATCTGTTTGGAAGCACACGAATAAACAGTTCATAAAAAGGAAGCGTTCCAAAAGACGTATGGCGAATTTTTCGGACATTGGTTCCTATGCAGTTTTAATTCTGATGATGTGCTTTAAGTCTCCTGGAAGTTTGTCGCAATCTTTATGCAATCCTTTGTTATTTATAGCGTTCTTAAACTCGCACACATCGACATAAAACAGTTTGAAAATTTCATTTAAGAGAAATTGTAACTTGGAGAGAGAAACTGTATGCAGGTTTGAAATCAGCAATACAAAAGTATCTCAGATTTGTTAAATAAATCTTAACGGAAAGAAAAAAAAGAAATTGATTTCCCAGTGTTATTAATTTATTGAATATCAACCGTTAAAAAATATTAATAACATTAAACGAAACATTATTTTTGTTTTGAAAATATATACTTACTCGAACATATGTATTTGAAAATATATACTTACTCGAACAAAAATTAGAACTTTGGTATCTCCAATACGGTATTTCCCATCCGCCACTCGAATCATGGGAAACTGAGATGGACAAGTACACCGACTCAAGAGTTCAACTACCTGTTGACAAAAGAAAATATTTGATGTAAATAAAGAATCAAGGTAATAAAATATACCTTGAGCTTTAAGGTATCTTCAATTTCTTGAGGATCAAGAAATATCATCAAAGAAATCATGATATTCAAGGAAATCATATATTTGTATAATCAATTTAGTTGTTATTTTAAGAAGACAAAACTTCGAATTTTTAAAACCATAATGCATTTAATATAATTATTGAATCCTATGAAAGGAACATAAGTTGATACATTTATATAAATACTCAGGATAAAAAGCAAAATCGCCACTAAAACTTGCTTTATCACTACTGAGACGGGCGGGATGAAAAAAAAAAAAAAAAANGGTCTGAAAAAAAAAAAAAAAAACAGAGAACGATTATCGATTTTTAACTCATCTGTTTCCACCGGTAATTCGTGCCTTTTTTTCCTACTAATGATTCGTTAGTTTTCAATAATGCTTTTGCTTTTCTCTTGCTTAAATATTAATTTGCGACACACAATGTGCATGCTTTTGTGTATTCAGTTTTGTCAAGAATTCTAAAAAGCTGTTTTAAGGACGGTCACTACGGAACATCCTATTTATCGAATTCATCGATCTGTTTATCGGATTGTAAGATTCATCGATCTCTACGCATATAATTAGATCGAATAGTTATGTTTGAATTAAAACTATAATTTTATCATCGTAATATGGGATATCAAATCAAGATGTTTTCGTTTATCCATTGCAACTTTCTTTTAGTAATTGTGTTCGATCTTGCTTTTTTTATTTGGACCAGATACAATTTAAGGAAGGATATTTCTAACTTAAAATGATGAAATAATGTTTTTTGGAAGTCATAAATAACGAATAAATTTTTTATGACTAGCCTATCATCAAAGTTTAAATCAATCAGTGTTTCTTTAAATGCTGTTAGGAAACTACAAAATAATTATTTCCGTCCAAAAAATGCATAATTTTTTGACCATAGGATTTTTTATCTTTCTTTATTTAATTTTAAATAATGAAGAACTTACACAAAATATGGAGGAAAAAACTGTTAATTTGATTCAAAATGTGTATTCTATGAATGTGACAATAAACTAAAATTCTATTTTAGTGAAATATTCAGTATAATATTTATTATTCAGTAAAGGATTTTTTTTCCTTTATTAAATTTTAAATAATGAAGAGCTTACACAAAATATGGAGGAAAAAATTGTTAATTTGATTCAAAATGTGTATTCTATGAATGTGACAATAAACTAAAATTCTATTTTAGTTAAATATTCAGTATAATATTTATTATTCAGTAAAGGTTTCTTTTTCCCTTATTAAATTTTAAATAATGAAGAACTTACACAAAATATGGAGGTAAAAACTGTTAATTTGATTCAAATTGTGTATTCTATGAGTGTGACAATAAACTAAAATTCTATTTTAGTAAAATATTCAGTAAAATATTTATTATTCAGTAAAGGTTTCTTTTTCCCTTATTAAATTTTAAATAATGAAGAACTTACACAAAATATGGAGGAAAAAACTGTTATTTTGATTCAAAATGTATATTCTATGAATGTGACAATAAATTAAAATTCCATTTTCAGTAAAATATTATTTCCACTAAAATATTATGTAAAACTTTATGTACTTAGTAAAATGTGAAAACATAATAATAAAATTAGAATGAAACAATATGAGATAACATAAGGTTAACTTTAGAGTACTGGAATAGCTGAAAATGTAATGTGAAATGTAGTATAGCTCAATATAAAATATAACAACTCTATTTAAATTTTAAAAAAATTTATAACTCTATTGGATTATTCCCTCATAACTTCTTTTAGTCTGAAAACATTTAAGTTTTAAATTTTCGCAATTATTCATCACAAATACACATTTCAATGAAAGTTTCAAAGGTCAATTATCATGAAAACTTAATTTACAATGAAAATCAAATCTACATGCGAAAAATTTTAAGCATGAGAAACTCATAATATGTTTTGTTTTCAGATGATTGTCAATAACAACCAACGTGTCAAAAGTCCTATCTTATCATGCAAAAATTATAAGACTGTCGCTATCAGTGTCAAAGCATATGAAAACTCAGCGTTCTTATCTTTAAGAAATATCGCAATCAACGACCAAATTTTGAAGAAATTATTTTTGAATTATAAGTTACCTCAAAGAAAGTTATCCAGATGTTCTTTCAGTTTATAAGTTGTTATGTTCATTAAAAAACAAACGTTTAAAATTGGAAGTTATAAAATTTCTTTTTATCATCTTAAAGAGTTTATTTTTCAAACCACTTTTAACTTAAATTTGGTAGAAATTCAGTGTAAATAGAGGTTTTTATAACAAAATTAAAATTTTAAAAGGAAAAACATATTTTGTGGAAAACTTAATAAATACATATTAAACTTCATAAATCTTGGCTTCCTAATAATAGCTTGTTTTTAAACTTCATGCTTTAGGGCTTTATTTCGAAAAAAAAGAAGAAAAAAGCAACTTAACTTTTGGACAAATAGATAATGGTTTTAATAGAATCTAAGGGTTTGGTTAAAAAAATTCTTTAATAACTTGTAAGCTTTTGATCCAATTTTTTATCATAAAATTGAAGATTGCTTTTTTGGGAATTTATAATAAATAAGTATCGGTATTGAAATTAGGAAAATCAACACTTAATTTAGTTATACAAAACCATATTGCATTTATCTAGAACCAAGTTTAATTTAAAAATGAAAATTTGATGATTTATTATTCACGAAATAAACAAACTACTTGATAGGATCTATGTGCCACAGATAAATTTTATAAATTATTTTATCATGAAATTAATCTGTTATTTAAAGTTCAGACTATTTCGCCCACAAAAATATTTTCTTTAGGGGACACAGGACGTTCAAAACAAAAAAAGTGCAATTTTTATTCGATCATTTTCAAATTTTAACAGAATATTGGTAGCATTGATAGAAGTCTGTGAACAAAATTAAAAATAATTATTATTATTTTTTAAGTTATAGCTAAAAGTATGGTTTTTAATTGTAGGAAATTAAAGACGAATTTTAATTTTCTCAATTAAATTTTTACCGAAATACGTTGGTTATAAAAATGCCTTTAAAAAAGTTTAAGTGGTTATGGTAACCGTATAAAAATATAACGTAACTAATCATTAAATTATATATATATAATTAGTCGTACTTTATAATGAGCACACAAGCCTGAATTTGTATGTGTAAGAACAAATAAATAAATGCGCAACATAACGTGCGTTCTCTCTTTTTTGTTAACTGCCCTGAAGCTTAGATGTAGGGCGATGGAATCTCGCGATAACACTGGATTTTATATTCCAGCTGTCTTTCTCAGGCTTGTGCTGTCTGAAAGAAGTGTTAAACTATTCAATGTATTTACAAAGAAACCTATACATATGTGGTGATTAAACAAATAAATCACACCCCTTAAAAGATGCATACAATAGATACCAAAATTTGATCTCTCTTTATACGAGTATAGTATTTTTAAAGTACCTGAAAGCATCCTTTTGGCCCATTTTCGCTCTGATAGATAAATATATTAGGAAAATAAATACACTCTATAACAAAAAAACCGACACACCAAGATGCAATTGTCCGATTGCTTTGAAATTTCGTATACGGGAATGTTTTGAACAGATATGGCTGGAATGATGCCGACTTGGGACGTATAGTCTTTAGCGACGAATCCCGCTTCCAACTGTGTCCTGACGATCATCGAAGACGTGTTTGGAGACGCACAAGGCAGAGGGGGGATCCTGCCTTCACAATTGCACGCCACACCGGCCCTCAACAAGGCATTATGGTCTGGGGTGCCATTTTCTTTGACAGCCCGACCCCTTTGGTCGTCATTAGAGGTAAACTTACTGCACGACATCTGCACGATACGTCGACGACATCTTAAGACCTGTTTTGCTACCGTTCCTTTTGCAGCGCCCTGGACTGGTTTTTTGGCAGGACAATGCCTGACCACATACGGCATGTGTTGCTATGAACTGTCTGCAAGTTTGTCAAACTCTTCCTTGGCCTGCCAGATCACCAGATCTCTCTCCCATCGAGCATGTCTGGGATATGATGGGAAGGCGATTGCATCTGGCAGGGAATGTTGATGACCTCGTTCGACAATTGGATCAAATTTGGCAGGAAATACCGCAAGAGACCATCCGGAAGCTTTATCGGTCTATGTCACGCAGTGTGGCAGCTTGTATCCAGGCTAGAGGCTGGTCAACAACTTATTGAACTTGTCACTGTAACTCTGCAATAAATTATTTGATTGTTCGGAAATTTTAATCATTTACTATTCTGTACATTGTCTTCCTATCCACCAATTTTCGTTTCAATCGGACAACTCCTTCTTGATGCGTCGATTCTTTTGTTATAGAGTGTAATTAACTATCACCTAAGTCCTATCAGTTATTCAAAGAAACCGCCATTTTAAGTAAGCCATTGAATTTTAAACTGTTAATTACTTTTTTGGTAAAAGGCATAGGCATCAAAAGGTTAAAATTACAAAATGAATGGCAGTTTTGAAGAATGTTTTGGTAGTTTTATCATGTTACCTTAGAGTATGGCATAAAAACTATTTTTTCGATTAAATTTACTTTTCAGTTTTCTATCCTTACTAAATGTGTGGTATAAGAACTATAATTTTGAAAACTGGAACCGTTACCATACGATAGGAAAAATTACCATATAAATGGTTTAAATAACGTATATTTCGGTTTTATTACTAATAGAATTACGCTTTTTATTTATTTATTTACTTATTTCACTTTTATTATTAAAAATGCCATCACCATAGCAGTACGGATGTCTTAAATGAATTTTTTTCACCATGTAAAAACTCAAAAGGCCCATATCTAATCGATTTTTATCAATTTATAAGTAATAGTTAAGAAAATAAAACATTAATGTTTGTTAAAATTTTATTTAGAACATTGTTTCCTTTTTTTCATATTTATTGTCAACATTTTTTCTACCGTATATTTG